CATATCGTCTGCATACATAAGGAGGAAAAGGTTTAGTGATGAAATTTCATATGGTACACATCCATTATTTAAAAAGTGCATTTCAAAATCATTTACATACATGTTAAATAGAATGGGTGAAAGGACTTCGCCTTGCATTAAACCGAGATTGCTACTAAAAATATCACTCAATAAACCTTCAGAAGTTACACAAGCTTTAACATTATTATACAATCCTTTTAAGACACGTAAAAGCTTGCCTTGAATACCAATTTTGGACAGTTTCAACCAAAGTTCGGGTCGATCAACAGAATCGAAAGCTTTTTTAAAATCAATAAAAGCACAATAAAGTCTTTTATTCTTTGAAAAAGAGGTAGTGATTAGAGAATACAGAGCAAAAATGGCAACACTGGTTCCACATTTTGGTTTAAAACCAAACTGAGCATCAGTAACAATATTATTACAATCTGACCATGAAATAAGTCTATTGTTTAAAACAGATGTAAAAAGTTTACAAAGATTACTGACCAAACTAATTCCTCTATAATTGTTAGGATCAAAATTATCTCCCTTTTTAAAAACAGGCACAATAACAGAAGTTGACCAACATTCTGGGAAAAAACCTGTATGTAAAATACAATTAAAAAGTTTATGCAAAATTGGCAAAAAATATTCTTCAAATTCAATAAAGTATTCATTGAGTATACAATCTTCACCATGAGATTTGCCTCTTTTTAAGTTTTTGATAGCAGTTTCAATTTCCTTGATATCTATATCTTTATCTAATTCATCAAAAATACATTCACCAATCTCACTGGAAATTGTATTACCGTCATTCAAGTTGCTTGAAATTGATTTAAAATGTTCAAAAAACTTATACAATGGAACATTAGATTTTAAGTTGGATTTTCGTTTAAATTTTGCGAAAAATTGCTTGGGGTTATTCTTCTTTAAAATCTCTTGCCTTTGACCTTCATATAATAAGTATTCTCTTTTACATTTGGCCTCAGAAATTTTATATGCACGCTTTTTTTGGGTTAATTCTATGTGGTTAACATTACTTTTACAAAAATTAAATTTACGCAACGCTACAATATAATCTTTGTACAATAATTTTAATTTTTTTTATCAAACCAAGGTTTATCGCTTGTGGATAGATAAAAGTTGTGTACTTGCTTTTGTTTGTTTATTTTTGATTTACAGTCACTGGGTTTATTATTATTAGATATAAAGAATGGATTTACAACTTCATGAAAAACACTGTTAAATTTGTCTATACTTGAGTCCATGTCAGATTGTGAACATATATTGTCAATGTTGAAACAGTCTTCAAATTTGCATTGATTTAACAGAATGGACTCCTTACACGATTCGAGCGCTTCCGCATTCCAGTGTGAACGTTTCCTTTGGGAGTATTGATGTGGATCGGCTGGACTTCGGATTTGGTGATCTTTCATCTTAATGCGCAATTCTATGTACAGTGGTGCATGATCAGAAAAAGTATTAAAATTACACACAATGAATTTAACAAAGAGATCAAACATATGTACAGGAGATAGCAAATAATCGATTGTACTGAGTCCACGTTTCCCGTTGAAGGTAAAATCATTTGCGTGACCGCCTTTGTGTCTTCCATTGACAATACGGAGTCCCGTGGTCTTACATAACGACAATAGTCTTGTTCCGTATTCATTCTGACCGGTGTCAGGGTTCACTCTAACAGGTAACTGACTATCAGCTGTGTAGGTAAATAAATTATCCAAAACGTCCTCATGAAGTGGGTAACTGTAAAGTGCGAAACGAAATAGAAACGAAACGAAACGAAACGAACTGAAACGAAACGAAATCTGCCGAAACGAAACGAAAACTACCGAAACGAAACGAAACGAAATCAAAATGAAACCTGCCGAAACGAAACGAAACGACACAAAATTATCAAATTATTTTGTTTTTCCAAATCAAGGTACATGTATATAATATATATGTGTAACTGCATGTGGATTTTTTTTTTACATCAAATAGATCAAGCACTTGTTAATATAAAATTTAATTTATTTACCGATTATGCTCCCTTCTCAGTCTAATGATGTATTTACATGTTTGCCAGCTGCAAATATCACGAGCGTACCGGTTCTATGCAATAATTTCAATATTTTTTATATCTTACTCTTATTTTCAGTCCTTATTTATCTAGATACAACATATCTATCAATATTGATGTGTTACATTTAAAGGCTCGTTTATGTACGGGTCGAAATAAAGTCACTGTACTGTTGTATTGCGAATGTCTTAAAACATAAGATACAGGCACGTAGCAACAGGGGGGGGGGGGGTGTGAGGGCGCTTTTCCCCCCAACATTACCTTTACTATAGAAAATGTCCACTGGGAAGATGGTCCACCCCACTTTTTACTACAGTATATGCATAGGAAGGAAATATAGGGAAAAATTGGAAAGTGAAAGGAAGTTCGCCTTGAAAAAACCCCCTCCCCCCTACGAAATAGGATTTTCGAGTTTAGGCGATTTTTAAATTATCCGGTTTTTTTTTCATGTCAACTTTTTTTAAGTAAGTAAAACTTTTTCTCAGGTTGCCCCCCCCCCCCACTTTCTAAAACGATGCTACGTGCCTGAGATAAACCAGAGACTAAGAGTATTTAGTATTCCATTCCGAGGCGTCTGTTTTTCCGTTCAAGTATACATGTAACTCCAACCGGAATCTTGTGTATCCTTTGTACGTATACAGTATATACAGTCCTATTTTTATCGAGGTAATTTTCGAGGAAGAAATGAGTGGTTTGCAATAAAGAGGCTCGACCAGAGACGTCTAAAACGATTTAACTGACAAGAAAAAAGTCTCTCGAAGCGACCGATGTCACTTTTAAGTAGGCAAATTATTCAGTAAGGTATTAACAAAATATGACATAGGCGTCGGAAACGGGGTGGGGGTGGTTGGGTTAGCACCCTCACCATTTTTTTTGCAAAGATATATATTATAAAGGCATTGAAAATTGGGGTTTACGTTTTTTGTTGATTAAGCCCCCCCCCCCTTTCAATTTCCCTAGGACGCCTATGTATGAGCTTGAAGCGAAACAATTGCCTGTGGTGCTTGAACTATATAAATTTAATATGAAGTAGAATTAGATCATTCAACACATTCTGAAACTTTTGTTTCGTTTCGTTTTGGCTGGTTTCGTTTCGTTCCGTTTCGTCTTGATTTCGTTTCGTTTCGGTAGGTTTCGTTTCGTTTCGGTAGATTTCGTTTCGTTTCGGCAGATTTCGTTTCGTTTCAGTTCGTTTCGTTTCGTTTCGTTTCGTTTCTATTTCGTTTCGCACTTTACAGGTACCCTCATGAAGTATATCATCTTCTATAAAGTCTGGCAGTGATCGTGTCCTACTATTTAAATCTCCAAAGATAAAAACATCACCCAGATCTTGAAAACTACACAAAAAATTTTCTAATTCATTAAATATATCAAAAAAGTAGAATTAATAGGAGGTAAATAGGTAAATGCGCAATAAATTTCATTGTTGTAATCACACAGAGATTTGTCAATTTTGAACCAAATTATAGCATCATATAAGGAATCAACTATTAAGACATATGGCACAAATGTATTTGTTATCAAAATAACTGTCCCCCCTCCTTGGATAGTTCTTGAATCTCGTGGGAAGATATATGTGTGAAAATCTTCCACATCCAAAGAAAAATCTTTATGTAACCAACATTCGGATAAACATATATCATATGTACATAAAAAATGTTTTAGGGAATTCCATTTATTTTCAAAACCACCATTAATGTTCCATCCGATTATCTTTAAGGGATGATCATTCTCCGGACACCCCTAACTTGGCTGTGGTCCCCTGTGTTCTCCTATGTCCATCGCTTGATCCTGTCTGTAGAGCTTCCCCTCAATATAAAGCTTGTCCTTCACCAAAGATGCCTTTTGCTCATCATAACTATGCACTTAGTTAGTTTATTTATTTCCTAGGAGCAGAGAAGAAGATTTTCAAAATATTCAGGTATTTTCACTATATAATCTATAGAGCCCCGCTCTAACACCAGAACCTCTGTCCCTGGGGCCATAAAATTCATAATTTTGGTAGAGGCACTCTTGCTCATCATAATTATGCACTTAGTTAGTTTATTTATTTCCTAGGAGCAGAGGAGAAGATTTTCAAAGAATTCAGGTATTTTCACTATATAATCTATAGAGCCCCGCTCTAACACCAGAACCTCTGTCCCTGGGGCAATAAAATTCATAATTTTGGTAGAGGCACTCTTGCTCATCATAACTATGCACTTAGTCTATTTAATAGGAAAATCTGTCGCCTTTACAACAAGCCTCTAATAGTTTATTTATTTCCTAGGAGCAGAGGAGAAGATTTTCAAAGAAAATTTTCACTATATAATCTTTAGAGCCCCGCTCTAACACCAGAACCTCTGTCCCTGGGGCCATAAAATTCATAATTTTGGTAGAGGCACTGCCCTAGCACAAGTACCCCTGACCCCAGGATCATGAATTTCACAATTTTGGTAGAGGACTCATTGCTGATTACAATCATGCAAACAGTTTGACTGCTTGATGTCCAGGAGTAAAGAAAAAGATTTTTAAAGATTGCACTAATTTTTGTGGTTGTGGCCCCACCCAACAGGCCCCAGGGGGGCAGGGATCATGAAATTCACAATTTTTGTTCCCCTTCACGCATAGATGCTTTATGCCAAATTTGGTTGAAATTGGTTCAGAGGTTAAAGAGAAGAAGCTGAAAATGTTCAAATGTTAACGCACCATGCACGACGACGTAAGAAAATAGATAGCAATAGGTCACCTGAATTTACTCAGGTGACCTTATAAAATGCCTGAGGCATTGGATGCTTGGGGTTATATCAAAATTCCTAATACTATCAAGAACTGTTTAATAAATGTTGATAATCTAAGCTTTTGAAATTTTCTTATGACAAACACATTTAAGTAGGTGATAGAATTTGAAGAACAACAAAAATTTATTGTATTGGCGGAACTGTCATGGCTTTTATTACAAAATACATTCACAGATAAGTTGAGATAACATGCAATTCGCATGTTCATTCAAGCATCAGCAACATGCATCTCGCATGTTCATAACCTGTGTGCCTATTGTACAACTCGTAAGCTTTTAACAGCATAGCATTCACAAATATCACACAAAGCATCACCTCGGCAAATGGTATTCGTCAAAATTGCGCTAACACGAAAAAGTCAGGATTATCACATTCAAAAAGCATAGTCCATTATACAGCTTTCTTCATCAGCGTATAAGCCACGACGATTACTTGAATGTCACTTAACAGTCAGGATTATCACATTCACACAGCAAAGTCCATGATGGCCTTCTTCATAGGTGTACAAGTCATGACGATTTCTGAAATTGAAAGAAAACACACAGCAGAAAAATGAGCAAAAATTAAATTGTCTGCACTGAACAAGATGGGAAGTTGAAAAGACCAAGCGCATGTGCATCAAAGCTCAAGTATTACCATTCTATATATAGAGGTCGCGTCATCAAGCTAGTTGATGTGAGGATCACGTGACCTGGTGTACACATTGCAAGTATTACTGACCCTAGAACCGTAATGATGGAACATCATAATTCCGGAAAACGGTTTGCATTTCTTTTATTTTTCATATTTTTAATCATGCAAAACTATATATACATCTGCACACACAGACAGATAAGATGAGTCACTTATAGGGTGTCCACAGGGGAGGGGGATATATTCTAAGCCACACATCAGAAAAATCACTTTTACACAGAATACTAAACCTATGACACCAGTCCTCGTAAAACTACAGGATACACTCAAAACACGATACTGATATTTCATTGTTTGAAGTTTTATAATTATTTAAGACAAACCTCTTGAAGCAAACAACTGACATTAAAATTTAATCTGATAATAACTTAACTCCTACCTTCTTAACTAATCTTAAGATAATTGAACTCAAACCTATTTCATCCCTTATATATCTTTCATTTTTATTAATTGGTTTTAACAGGGCTAAGGAACTATATTCTTAAGGATGTTATGCCTATATTGCGGTGTGTGCATGAGTTGTATAAGACATAGCATAGACAAGAATAAAACTTTAACTGAACTTCTTTAATTTAATTTTTCAAACTCTTTAAAGATACAACTATTTAATGGAAAATTCTATCACCTCTTATGACAAGCCTCTAATAGGCCAGGAACCTATTCTCTAAGCCCCCGATCCACCAGGGGGTTTAACCAATCAAAAAGGACCAAGGGAACTAAACAAACCTAACTCTACCCCAAACGCTCCCTCAACCTAACTCTACACCCCCCCTTCAATGAATGTTATACATTTTTTACAAAAAAATCAGAAATCGTTTCAAGTTTTATAATTATTTAAGACAAACCTCTATAACCATCATAACCAAACACCTGAAATGGAAATTTAATCTTATAATAACTTAACTCCTACCTTCTTAAGTAATCTTAAGATAATTGAACTCAAACCTATTTCATCTCTTATCTTTAATTTTTATTCAATGGGTTTTTATAGGGATAAGAAACTATATTCTCATGAATGCTATGCCAATACGGCGGTGTGTGCAGGAGTTGTATAAGACATAGCATAGATAAGAATAAAACTAACTGAACTTCTTTAATTAAGCATTTAATTTTTTTTTTAATAATACAACTATTTAATGGGAAATTCTGTCGCCTCTTACGACAAGCCTCTAATAGGCCAGGAACCTATTCTCTAAGCCCCCGATCCACCAGGGGGTTTAACCAATCAAAAAGGACCAAGGGAACTAAACAAACCTAACTCTACCCCAAACGCTCCCTCAACCTAACTCTACCCCCCCCCCCCTTCAATGGAATGTTATACATTTTTTAAAAAAAATCAGAAATCTTTGGAGTTTTATAATTATTTAAGACAAACCTCTATAACCATCATAACCAAACAAATGAAATGGAAATTTAATCTTATAATAACTTAACTCCTACCTTCTTAAGTAATCTTAAGATAATTGAACTCAAACCTATTTCATCTCTTATCTTTAATTTTTATTCATTGACTTTTTATAGGGATAAGAAACTATATTCTCATGAATGCTATGCCAATACGGCGGTGTGTGCAGGAGTTGTATAAGACATAGCATAGATAAGAATAAAACTAACTGAACTTCTTTAATTAAGCATTTAAATTTTTTTTAATAATACAACTATTTAATGGGAAATTCTGTCGCCTCTTACGACAAGCCTCTAATAGGCCAGGAACCTATTCTCTAAGCCCCCGATCCACCAGGGGGTTTAACCAATCAAAAAGGACCAAGGGAACTAAACAAACCTAACTCTACCCCAAACGCTCCCTCAACCTAACTCTACCCCCCCCCCCCCCTTCAATGGAATGTTATACATTTTAAAAAAAAAATCAGAAATCTTTGGAGTTTTATAATTATTTAAGACAAACCTCTATAACCATCATAACCAAACAAATGAAATGGAAATTTAATCTTATAATAACTTAACTCCTACCTTCTTAAGTAATCTTAAGATAATTGAACTCAAACCTATTTCATCTCTTATCTTTAATTTTTATTCAATGGGTTTTTATAGGGATAAGAAACTATATTCTCATGAATGCTATGCCAATACGGCGGTGTGTGCAGGAGTTGTATAAGACATAGCATAGATAAGAATAAAACTAACTGAACTTCTTTAATTTAGTATTTAAAATTTTTTTTAATAATACAACTATTTAATGGGAAATTCTGTCGCCTCTTACGACAAGCCTCTAATAGGCCAGGAACCTATTCTCTAAGCCCCCGATCCACCAGGGGGTTTAACCAATCAAAAAGGACCAAGGGAACTAAACAAACCTAACTCTACCCCAAACGCTCCCTCAACCTAACTCTACCGCCCCTTCAATGGAATGTTATACATTTTTTAAAAAAAATCAGAAATCGTTTGAAGTTTTATAATTATTTAAGACAAACCTCTATAACCATCATAACCAAACAAATGAAATGGAAATTTAATCTTATAATAACTTAACTCCTACCTTCTTAAGTAATCTTAAGATAATTGAACTCAAACCTATTTCATCTCTTATCTTTAATTTTTATTCAATGGGTTTTTATAGGGATAAGAAACTATATTCTCATGAATGCTATGCCAATACGGCGGTGTGTGCAGGAGTTGTATAAGACATAGCATAGATAAGAATAAAACTAACTGAACTTCTTTAATTTAGTATTTAAAAATTTTTTTTAATAATACAACTATTTAATAGGAAATTCTGTCGCCTCTTACGACAAGCCTCTAATAGGCCAGGAACCTATTCTCTAAGCCCCCGATCCACCAGGGGGTTTAACCAATCAAAAAGGACCAAGGGAACTAAACAAACCTAACTCTACCCCAAACGCTCCCTCAACCTAACTCTAACCCCCCCCCCCCCCCCATTCAATGGAATGTTATACATTTTTTCTAAAATCAGAAATCGTTTGAAGTTTTATAATTATTTAAGACAAACCTCTATAACCATCATAACCAAACAAATGAAATGGAAATTTAATCTTATAATAACTTAACTCCTACCTTCTTAAGTAATCTTAAGATAATTGAACTCAAACCTATTTAATCTCTTATCTTTAATTTTTATTCATTGACTTTTTATAGGGATAAGAAACTATATTCTCATGGATGCTATGCCAATACGGCGGTGTGTGCAGGAGTTGTATAAGACATAGCATAGATAAGAATAAAACTAACTGAACTTCTTTAATTTAGTATTTAAATTTTTTTTTAATAATACAACTATTTAATGGGAAATTCTGTCGCCTCTTACGACAAGCCTCTAATAGGCCAGGAACCTATTCTCTAAGCCCCCGATCCACCAGGGGGTTTAACCAATCAAAAAGGACCAAGGGAACTAAACAAACCTAACTCTACCCCAAACGCTCCCTCAACCTAACTCTACCCCCCCCCCCCCCCTTCAATGGAATGTTATACATTTAAAAAAAAAAATCAGAAATCGTTTGAAGTTTTATAATTATTTAAGACAAACCTCTATAACCATCATAACCAAACAAATGAAATGGAAATTTAATCTTATAATAACTTAACTCCTACCTTCTTAAGTAATCTTAAGATAATTGAACTCAAACCTATCTTAAGATAATTGAACTCAAACCTATTTCATCTCTTATCTTTAATTTTTATTCAATGGGTTTTTATAGGGATAAGAAACTATATTCTCATGAATGCTATGCCAATACGGCGGTGTGTGCAGGAGTTGTATAAGACATAGCATAGATAAGAATAAAACTAACTGAACTTCTTTAATTTAGTATTTAAATTTTTTTTAATAATACAACTATTTAATGGGAAATTCTGTCGCCTCTTACGACAAGCCTCTAATAGGCCAGGAACCTATTCTCTAAGCCCCCGATCCACCAGGGGGTTTAACCAATCAAAAAGGACCAAGGGAACTAAACAAACCTAACTCTACCCCAAACGCTCCCTCAACCTAACTCTACCCCCCCCCCCCCCCTTCAATGGAATGTTATACATTTTAAAAAAAAAAAATCAGAAATCGTTTGAAGTTTTATAATTATTTAAGACAAACCTCTATAACCATCATAACCAAACAAATGAAATGGAAATTTAATCTTATAATAACTTAACTCCTACCTTCTTAAGTAATCTTAAGATAATTGAACTCAAACCTATTTCATCTCTTATCTTTAATTTTTATTCAATGGGTTTTTATAGGGATAAGAAACTATATTCTCATGAATGCTATGCCAATACGGCGGTGTGTGCAGGAGTTGTATAAGACATAGCATAGATAAGAATAAAACTAACTGAACTTCTTTAATTTAGCATTTAAAAAATTTTTTTTAATAATACAACTATTTAATGGGAAATTCTGTCGCCTCTTACGACAAGCCTCTAATAGGCCAGGAACCTATTCTCTAAGCCCCCGATCCACCAGGGGGTTTAACCAATCAAAAAGGACCAAGGGAACTAAACAAACCTAACTCTACCCCAAACGCTCCCTCAACCAAATTTCCCCCCCCCCCCCCTTCAATGGAATGTTATACATTTTTAAAAAAAAATCAGAAATCGTTTGAAGTTTTATAATTATTTAAGACAAACCTCTATAACCATCATAACCAAACAAATGAAATGGAAATTTAATCTTATAATAACTTAACTCCTACCTTCTTAAGTAATCTTAAGATAATTGAACTCAAACCTATTTCATCTCTTATCTTTAATTTTTATTCAATGGGTTTTTATAGGGATAAGAAACTATATTCTCATGAATGCTATGCCAATACGGCGGTGTGTGCAGGAGTTGTATAAGACATAGCATAGATAAGAATAAAACTAACTGAACTTCTTTAATTAAGCATTTAAATTTTTTTTAATAATACAACTATTTAATGGGAAATTCTGTCGCCTCTTACGACAAGCCTCTAATAGGCCAGGAACCTATTCTCTAAGCCCCCGATCCACCAGGGGGTTTAACCAATCAAAAAGGACCAAGGGAACTAAACAAACCTAACTCTACCCCAAACGCTCCCTCAACCTAACTCTACCCCCCCCCCCCCCCTTCAATGGAATGTTATACATTTTTAAAAAAAAAATCAGAAATTTTTCGACTTTTAAAATTATTTAAGACAAACCTCTATAACCATCATAACCAAACAAATGAAATGGAAATTTAATCTTATAATAACTTAACTCCTACCTTCTTAAGTAATCTTAAGATAATTGAACTCAAACCTATTTAATCTCTTATCTTTAATTTTTATTCAATGGGTTTTTATAGGGATAAGAAACTATATTCTCATGAATGCTATGCCAATACGGCGGTGTGTGCAGGAGTTGTATAAGACATAGCATAGATAAGAATAAAACTAACTGAACTTCTTTAATTTAGTATTTGAAAATTTTTTTAATAATACAACTATTTAATGGGAAATTCTGTCGCCTCTTACGACAAGCCTCTAATAGGCCAGGAACCTATTCTCTAAGCCCCCGATCCACCAGGGGGTTTAACCAATCAAAAAGGACCAAGGGAACTAAACAAACCTAACTCTACCCCAAACGCTCCCTCAACCTAACTCTACCCCCCCCCCCCTTCAATGGAATGTTATACATTTTTAAAAAAAAAATCAGAAATCGTTTGAAGTTTTATAATTATTTAAGACAAACCTCTATAACCATCATAACCAAACAAATGAAATGGAAATTTAATCTTATAATAACTTAACTCCTACCTTCTTAAGTAATCTTAAGATAATTGAACTCAAACCTATTTCATCTCTTATCTTTAATTTTTATTCAATGGGTTTTTATAGGGATAAGAAACTATATTCTCATGAATGCTATGCCAATACGGCGGTGTGTGCAGGAGTTGTATAAGACATAGCATAGATAAGAATAAAACTAACTGAACTTCTTTAATTTAGTTTTAAATTTTTTTTAATAATACAACTATTTAATGGGAAATTCTGTCGCCTCTTACGACAAGCCTCTAATAGGCCAGGAACCTATTCTCTAAGCCCCCGATCCACCAGGGGGTTTAACCAATCAAAAAGGACCAAGGGAACTAAACAAACCTAACTCTACCCCAAACGCTCCCTCAACCTAACTCTACCCCCCCCCTTCAATGGAATGTTATACATTTTTAAAAAAAAAAAAAACAGAAATCGTTTGAAGTTTTATAATTATTTAAGACAAACCTCTATAACCATCATAACCAAACAAATGAAATGGAAATTTAATCTTATAATAACTTAACTCCTACCTTCTTAAGTAATCTTAAGATAATTGAACTCAAACCTATTTCATCTCTTATCTTTAATTTTTATTCAATGGGTTTTTATAGGATAAGAAACTATATTCTCATGAATGCTATGCCAATACAGCGGTGTGTGCAGGAGTTGTATAAGACATAGCATAGATAAGAATAAAACTAACTGAACGTCTTTAATTTAGTTTTTAAAAAAATTTTTAATGAAACTTTTTAATGGGAAATTCTGTCGCCTCCTACTACAAGCCTCTAATAGGCCAGGAACCTATTCTCTAAGCCCCCGATCCACCTAACTCTACCGCAAACCCTAGTTCAACCTAACTCTACCCAAACCCTCCCTCAACCTAACTGTACCCCAAACCCTTTCTCAACCTAACTCTACATCAAGCCCTCCCTCAAACTAACTCTATCATAAACCCTCCCTAAACCTAACTCTACCCCAAATCCTCCCTCTATGGAATGTAATAGATTTTTTAAATTTTATAATTATTCAAGACAAACCTCTTGAAGCAAATAACTGAAATTGAAATTTAATCTGATGAGTAGTTAACTCCTACCTTCTTAAGTAACATCATGGACATCTGCCACCACACCAGGAACATCAGGGACATCTGGCACCACATCAGAAACATCAAGGACATCTGTCGCTGCACCAGGAGCATCAATGACATCTGGCACCACATCAGAAACATCAGGGACATCTGGCACCACATCAAGAACATCAGGGACATCTGGCACAACATCCGAAACATCAAGGACATCTGGCACCACATCCAAAACATCAAGGACATCTGGCACCACAAAAGGAACATCAATGACATCTGGCACCACATTAGGAACATATGGCACCACACCAGGAACATCTAGCACAACACCAGGAACATCTGCCACCACATCAGGAGCATCATGGACATCTGGCACCACAACAGGAGCATCTGCCACCACACCAGGAGCATCAGGGATATCTGGCACCACACCAAAAACATCTGCCTCCACACTAGGAACAACTGCCACTACACCTGGAGCATCTGCCACACATCAAGAGCATCTGCCACACATCAGGAACATCTGCCATCACACCAGGAGCATCTGGCACCACACCAGGAGTATCAGGGACATCTGGCACCACACCAAGAGCATCTGGGATATCTGGCACCACACCAGGAGCATCAGGGACATCTGACACCACAAAAGGAATATCTGCCACTACAACAGGAACATCTGCCACATAATCAGGAACATCTGCCAACACATCAGAAACATCTGCCATCACACCAGGAACATCTGGCACCACACCAGGAACATCTGCCACTAGACCAGGAACATCTGCCACCACACCAGGAACATCTGCCACTACACCAGGAGCATCTGCCACCACATCAGGAATATCTGCCATCACACCAGGAGCATCTGGCACCACACCAGGAGCATCAGGGACATCTGGCACCACACCAGGAACATCTGGCACCACACCAGGAACATCTGCCACCACACCAGGAACATCTGCCACTACACCAGGAACATCTGCCAACACACCAGGAACATCTGGCACCACACCAGGAGCATCAGGGACATCTGGCACCACACCAGGAACATCTGGCACCACACCAGGAACATCTGCCACTAGACCAGGAACATCTGCCACCACACTAGGAGCATCTGCCTCTACACCAGGAGCATCTGGCACCACACCAGGAACATCTGCCATCACACCAGGAGCATCTGGCACCACACCAGGAGCAATAGGGACATCTGGCACCACACCAGGAACATCACAGACATCTGCCACTACACCAGGAACATCTGCCAACACATCAGGAACATCTGCCATCACACCAGGAGCATCTGGCATCACAGGAGCATCAGGGACATGTGGCACCACACCAGAAACATCTGCCACCACACCAGGAACATCTGCCACCACACTAGGAACATCTGCCACTACATCCGGAACATCTGATACCACATCAGGAATATCTGCCACCACATCAGGAGCATCAGGGACATCTGCCACTACACCAGGTACATCAAGATCAGCAGGTAGGGAGGGAGTCGCACAGGACTGAGGCAAAACAGTCCTCACAGGATCCTGTACATCAAACGTAGGCATCTCCTCATACTGAAATAATATTTATAAAACAGGCTTATTCATATTTTACTCATTAAAGTACATTACATATACATTTGTCCAAATAAACAAAAATGCTCATCATGAACATTGAACAAACACTACAACAGCAAAAAAAATTAATATTATAATCAAATGAGTTTAAATTAGTTTAAATTTATGTTTATCCGGAATTAAAATTTTCATGCGTATGAGAATTTTTCATTTTGATCAATTCATTTTCAATAACTGAATACCTGTAATATTGCCACATTTCAAAATTATTAAATTTTAAAGCGAAGACAACAAAGATAATGGTAGCAACTGTTCCTTTGCCTGGGGCACTCAGGACTTGAATCTACACTATTTCACCTGCGGAAGCTTTCGTGTATAAATATGACCAATTATGGCTTAGCTGTTTTTAAGAAAAAAGACTATAAAAGATTTTTTCCTATATATTCCTATGTAAAACTCCTATGATCATCCATTATAGCCCCACCCTTTTACTAGGGGTCATAAACTTGAATCTACACTACTGGAGTTTTATGAAGAAACTTTTGCAATTGACAACTGACTTCTACAATTTCAACAGAGACAAACTCCATTTACTAAAATGTAAAAGTCAGCTGTCGAATGTTAAAGTAAGTCTCTTCATAAAACTCCACTTGAAGATGTATCCATACAAGTTCCATCTTTCCTATACATTTGTTCCTTTATAGAAAATGATTTTTAAAATCTCCAAGTAATTTTTCACTAAATCATAATTATCTTCCCTTAAAAGAGAATGGAGCCATCAATTGAATTTCCATCACCCAAGGATACTTAGGGCAAGTCTGGTTAAAATTGGTTCTTGAGGAAAGCTCTTTTAAGTTAATTATAAGCCTTCAGCTCAGATGAGCTAAAATAATAAGAGGAATGTAATCAAACCTTAAAGATATATATGCCGTATTAGAGTTTTATTTTTAAAGAATTAAATATATGTGGTGTCTCATCAAGTTATAAAAGTTATATACTTTCTGCAAATAAGACAATTCTACTCAATCACTTTTAAAAGTTATTAAATATTATTTTGTAAAAATTATTTTCTCTCCGAGTCGGATATTAAACCGCCTCTTATTGAAATATTCATGATCACATGGTCTCGCATGCTCACAGCAAACAATCTGAGGTCCAATCTGGTGAATGAGCTGAAAAGCATGATGGTCTACTGCGCTTTTACTACAAACACGTGGGTTAGGGAAATTTAGGATAAAATTTCAAATGACGGCTGGAAAGTCACGTTTACAATTTTTTGAAACGTGTTTGAGAAAAATAAGAAGAATAGGTAATAAGTGAGAATTCCCATGCTCACACTGACAAACAAAATCTTTTCTCTTTTTAAAAAGTACTTTGAAATATCACTAACAATGTCTCCACAAGTAAATAATTTTTAAGACTCAGTTTTTAAACTCGATATCCGTTAATTCTCCATGTAACTGGTTGAATTAATTGTTGCTAAGCTATTACTACACGTAGAAATTTAAAGTTTATGCATTTATAAAACGTAGGTAATCAGAGATTAATTACAGAGCTCACCTCAACGAAAGTTGTCTTTAAGTAAGGCAAAGTCACACGATTAACAAACAAAAAGTATACATTCCAAAAATGAAAATATTTCTAAAAGCAATTTTGATCTGATACTTTGAAATAGACCTACATAAAAAATTTAAACTACTTCTTCTTCATGAAAATGTCATGAAAATCCAGCATCTGAAGCTAATTTGAGAGTTTTCATCCCTTGATGCAGCATTTGTGCAAGTTTGGTTTATACAATGTTATATAAGCCTTATAGTTTTTGGTAATAGACCTGCAACTATATTTTTTACCTTGTCTATTATCTGAAAAATGTATGTCCAATTCAGCATCCGAAGCAAGTCTATTAGTGTGCATCCTTAGATGTATCATCCATGCAAGTTTGCTCATTATAGGGCTCATAGTTTATTGGAAATGAAACATGCATCAAAACTAACATTTTTCACTCATCCACAAAAAGTAGGTCAGATTCAGCATCCGAAGCAAGCCTGGAAGTATGCATCCTTAGATGTATCATCTATGCAAAATTGGTCATAAAAGAACTCATAGTTCCTTGGAAATGAAACCTGCACCAAAAACTTTTAACTAATCACTCAACAGGAAAATGTAGGTCAGATTCAGCATCCGAAGCAAGCCTGGTAGTATGCATCCTTAGATGTATCATCCATGCAAGTTTGGTCAACACAGGGCTTAAAGTTACTTGCAAATGAAACCTGCACCAACAACATTAACATGTTCGCTCAACTGGAAAATGTAGGTCAGATTCAGCATCCGAAGCAAGCCCAGTAGTATGCATCCTTAGATGTATCATCCATGCAAGTTGGGTCAACACAGGGCTTATAGTTACCTGGAAATGAAACCCTCACAAAAAAATTTTAACCTGTTCACTCAACTGGAAAATGTAGGTCAGATTCAGCATCTGAAGCAAGCTCGGTAGTATGCATCCTTAGATGTATCATCCATGTAAGTTTGGTCAACATAGGGCTTATAGTTACTTGCAAATGAAACTTACACCAAAAACTTTAACCTGTTCACTCAACTGGAAAATGAAGGTCAGATTTAGCATCTGAAGCAAGCACGGTAGTATACATCTTTAGATGTATCATCCATGCAAGTTTGGTCAACATAAGGCTTATAGTTACTTGGAAATGAAACCCACACCAAAAATGTTAACCTGCTCCAAAAACATTAACCTGGTAATTCCTTTGCTGAAATTGCAGCATCTGAAACTTTGTCTGGTACAATAAAACACACTAAAACCATCTTCCATGCATGTCTAATCAGTATAGGACACAGAAGTAATTAAAAAGAAAACTGCTCCAAAAAACTTAACCTTAACCTGGGACATTACGCAACGCTGGTAATTCCAACTTGCTTGATTTGAGCTGGTACATTAAGATCTGAAATTTCACATTTTACTTTTACAATAAAACAAATTAAAATGCCTTCCATGAATCGTTTTGAAGTAATTAAAGAAGAAAATTTTTGCATTATTCAAATAAAAATGTACAAAAATTATAAAACATAGATTTCAGATTTTTTTTTCTTCAAAAATTGTTTTAGAAGAGTGTGTACAAATCCATTTTAGACATTAAAAATCACTGCACACAGGTCCAAAAAATAGTTTTTCAATCTGATGATTAAAATTTGATCAAAATGCTTTTCCCGCTGATGCACATGCGCAGATCCAGCAAATACGCTTAGGTCCTTTATAAAAATGAAAAATAAGTTTGTTTTTTTTGCATACCAGCAAGTTTGGTTTGTTAAGTTATTTGGGAATAAAAAATATCATCCAATTCTCAGGAATGCTTCATCCATGAATTTGATTCAGGTCATACTTCTAAGGAAAAAATTTTAGTTTGTACACATTCAGCTGTAAATACTGTTTAACAGAGCATCACCCATATTTTATGGTTCAGGTGGGCTTAGGTCACTAAATTCAGTCACAAAAAATATCCTCAATCTGAATTACTTTTTTTGCACACATTATCAAGCATTTGGTTGTCCATTGCATGCAGAATCTTGTAAATTTTGACCAGTTCTTTTAAAGGAATCATTACTTGAAAAAAATGTCAATCCGGATAGCAAATTTGGTAACAAATTAAACAATGAATCCCCAATGTAAAAACCCTAATGACTTTCTTATGGTTAATTTAAAAATATAGTGTTATGCAAAAAACATAATTCCTAAAAATATCGTTATTTTTGTAACTGATAGTTTACTGTAAATTTATCAAAAAATGCTTCATTTTTGCATCACAGTTTAGTTCAAATTAGCTTATAGTTACTTGTATAAAAATATAGTCAGATCCACAGCTCCAAAGCAAGTCAGGCAAACTCTCAGTATTTCAAAATCACAGCAATTCAAACTCTGTTTGTTTTAGGGCTTATGTTACTTGTGGACAGCAATTTAAAATATAAAGGGAATTTAATTGCAGTTTTTTTTTAAAAGTGATATTTCAGATAGAGAAATTTTTGCCCCTTTCACCTATTGTCAAATATCCCTTGCATACATATTTAAGTTATAAAAGTTTATAAAATTTTTCAATAGTGAGGGAAAAAAATTTCATAATCAATTTTAAAATTCCCTGAACTTACAATTATCGAAAAAATTAAAAATGATAATAGCATCCGAAGCAAGTAAATTAATGTTTGAAAGACTTTGCATTGATCCAATTTAGTCTTTTCACATTTTAAAATTTAAAGTCCTTAGGAAAGCCCTGTTCCTACAACTTTTATGTTGAAAATGTCAGTCATCCAGCATCTAAAAATTATAGTTTCAATCCCTAAATGAACCATTAGTTTCACAAAATAATCAAAAACAATGAAGTTTGATGAAAATATTTTTAAAATTAAATTAAACAGAGCTAAACAGAATTTTTGAAAATGTTTTAAAAAAATTGCTTATTAAGGTCAGCAAGGACACATTTATACGGACATGATTGAACAAATATTTTTATTCATTTATAAATTTCAAAAAACTTTTTTAACTTGGGATGAATTTCACATAATTCATATCAAATATAAACTAGCAAATTAACGGGGCCCCAACTTTGTTAGGTGAGCTAAAAAGTTTGAAACTTTTTTTTTTAAATTACTCTATGTATAGAATTAATTGTTTAACTTGTACACATTGTAAACATTGTCAAGTAACCTGAGCACACCTCAGAGTTGGTTGCATTTTGTACCTCACTAAACAGTCGTCACAAAAAATAGTTTCCTCAATCTGATGATTCTCACAATGCTTTTCCCGCGCACATGCGCAGATCCAGCATATACGTAGGTCCTTTATAAATATGCATGAGAATATTGTGTTTTTTCCCGACCAGTACTTTGTTAATACCGAATAATATTTCATCCAATTTGCAGGAATGCTTCATTTTTGATAGCTCATCATACTTCAAAAATTTTTGTTTGGTTTCAGCTGTGCAAAAATACTGTTTAACAGAGCATACATATCTTTAAGCTAATATGGACCAGGTCACAAGTTTCAATCAGCATTTGGGTAAGAAGGCTAGGGATCAACAAACTAACTTACTTTTTTTAGAAATGGTATCTTAAGCACTTTAAAATTTGATCATTTTTTTATATCTTTAAATGGAGCTCTTCTTTTAAAGGAGATCAATATAGTCTGAAAATGGCTCCCCCCAGCCTAGCAAATTAAACAATGAAGCCCTGCACTTGAACCAGAACCCTTGACTCAATGGTTAATTTCACAAAATCTCACCGTAGTGCTTTTGAATTTCACATAATTCATAAAAATATAAACTATTTTTGTACACGGGGCACGAGCTGTGTTACTGTTCATGTTTACCTCTGTCTCCTCATCCATTAGCCGCAGCTCCTCCTTGACCGCTTGTCCATAAGCTCTGAGTGCCTCCACTTGCTCACAAAGCAAACGAAAACTCTCATCAAACCTACAATCACAAGTCAAGGATCAAACTCTGTCATTGTTTAATTTTTTGTTGCTTGTGGACAAATTTGAAATAAGGGAATTTAATTGATAAAGATTAGTTTTTTTCGTAGTACATTTCTGTATACCGAGAAATTTTTGCCCCTTTCACCTATTCCTCAAATATTGGTGCAGCATGGCATGTGATAAACATGTTTTAAAAATTATAAAAAGTTTCAATAGTGGAAGGGAAAAAATGGATTCCTCTACACTTCATATTTTAAGTTTAATATTTGAACCAGATATGAAAAAAGTTAAAGAAAGTTGGATGGACATGAACACCATAACATGATAACTGCCCAGTTCTCACACAGTAAAATCATTTTTTGTATAAAGACAGGTATAGAATTATGTACCTGATACTCATCTTTCTGCTAAAAATTAACACATTTATGCTGAATTTCCATAAACTTTCAAAATATAATTTTCTAAATCATTCAAATTCTCGAAAAAAAAAAAAATACAAAAATTAACAAAGAAAAAGAACCCCACCTAACTGAACACTGAAACTTTTTTGTTAAAAAATATGAATCTCTTTAAAAAAGAAAATCAAGATTGTTTTCAATGGAGTAGTTTCAGTAGTTTGTAATTTCAAATTTAATGTCCCTCCCTCATCAAACCTAATTAATTAGTTTGTACTTACATTTATGGCCCCTCTCTCATCAAACCTAATTAATTAGTTTGTACTTACATTTATGGCCCCTCCCTCATCAAACCTAATTAATTAGTTTATACTTACAATGGCCCCTCCCTCATCAAACCTTATCAATAAGTCTGTACTTACAATGGTCCCTCCCTTATCAAAACTAATCAATTAGTTTGTACTTACAAAGGCCCCTCCCTCGTCAAACATAATCAATTAATTTGTACAATCAAACCTGAATCATTTAAATTTGCAACAACAATATTTAAACATAATCTAATTAGTTAGTTTATATTTACAATGACCCCTCCCTTATTTACTATAAAATGTCTTTTAGAAAAATAAAATTTCAAATGTAAATGTAATTGATTTCCAAATGTTATTTTAATAAAAAATACATTCCAAGTTTTTTTACACTCAGAGCCCCTCCCTCAGGCTAAAAACCTATAATCAATAATTTGCATTTTGTACCTTACAATGGCCCCTCCCTGTCAAACCTTTTCCAAAGTTTGTATTACAATGGCCCTCCCTCATCAAACCTAATTAGTTAGTTTGTACCTACAATGACCCCTCCCTCATCAAACCTAATTAATTAGTTTGTACTTACAATGGCCCCTCCCTCATCAAACCTAATCAATTAGTTTGTACTTACAATGGCCCTCCCTCATCAAACCTAATTAGTTAGTTTGTACCTACAATGACCCCTCCCTCATCAAACCTAATTAATTAGTTTGTACTTACGATGGTCCCTCCCTCTCAGCATCATCCATGGGCCTCGCTGGAACACTGAAAATGAAATGCACTTGACATTCAGTATCTCAAACACCAATATCTCAAATACAATGGATAGTGATTTTTAAGTCCCAATGCCTACTCCATAAGTAGTTTACCCTGAATATCTATACATAAAATATACTTGAACCTCAGTATCTCAAACATCCATATCTCAATATCTTGGATATCTCAAATTTTTTCTCAGTCCAGTTGGGTTCAAGATAGCGAAGTTTGAGCATGTTGAGTGTAAAAATATATTCCTTATAAATCACTTTTGAAATAAACCTTGAAAAATGATATCATTTCATGGAACAATTTTTAATTCATGCATCTTTTAAAAACTATGACTCATGTGAGTTTTTTTTATAAATGGTCCTGTAAACTGTAGACTTAAAATGTAGACATTAATTAATCATTTGAGTTTTATAATAAAACGAGGCCAAAAGGTCACAATGCTCACCTGAGTAACATTGGTTTTACACTATCCAAGGATGCTTCCACACAAGTCTCAGCATTTCAAGTCCAGTGGTAATATTTCTTAAGAAGGAGTTTTTATCATTTTTACTATATATTTCAATGAAAAAAATCTTGGGATTCCTCATAGTGGCCCATACCTACCCCTGGGGTGAGTTTCTGTCCTGGTAGTTCTTAAGATTTTTAAATGACCCCATCCTATTTTTGTCTTTCTTGATTATTCCCCCCTAGGGGTTGGCCATTTACTTCAATAATTTACACTCCCCTTCACCCAAAATTACCTCTTCACCAAAGGATCATCTCCTTACTTCACAACTCTAATTAAATCAGAGTAATTTGAAATCAACTCTTACCACTGTGCCTCTTGGGCAACATATATTTGATCGTAAAAAAAAAAAAAAACATGAACATAAATAGTATATACATGTATATTACTTACTCGAATTCCTCCCTCCATACGCAGTCAATCAAGATCGTCGTATCCACGTCGTCCATGGATGTGTCAGCCTCCATCGTCTCTGAGGAACAGCTGAAAGGGGAGTAAGACATGTTGAATGAACAGCTGAAAGGGGAGTAATGAATATTGATTAAACTGCTGAAAATCAGTTACAGTACGTGTTGAACTTCCATAATCCTAACCCCAATATATCATACAGCAACATCATATCTCAAACACCAATATTATCTCATACAGAAAAAACTAATTGCACATCGAACATGGGGCTAATTATAAATATGTTTATATTCACCAACATTGACAACAGCATAGCACTGTTAAGCTTTAAACTTTGAAGAAATCAACAACAAAAATAGACGAGCACAAATAGATACCTTTTTTAAATGCTTAAAATTTATTTTGTAAAGCTATTTTATTACCAGATGACTTTGATATTTATAGAAAGCTACAACATTGTACTGTAGTTCCAACTTTTATTCATGTGCAAGAAATTTCCGCGAGGTTTGCTAAAGCTCCGTCAACGCGAATATTTCTCGCCGCGAACCGGTCCTTAAAGTCTATGTGCCTATTTATTAACAACAAATCCAAAATAGAATTAATCGCGAAAATTAATCGTCGCGAACTAGTTTCTCCCTTATAAATCGCGAAATAAAGTCGTCGTGAATAAAAGTTGGTTTACAGTATATCCCACTCTATATTGAATCTTAAATTAAGATAGGTTGCCTCATTAATAAAGTCATGTGACTTTTCATTAATTGTGGTAACTAAATCTTTATTACATGTAGAACTTTGAGTACTGAGTGTCCTTTGTTTATTATAAAAGAGGTAGTTCAGAATTGAATGCTATCACTGCATCAACTTTTTGTAGAATGAATAAACATTAAAAAAGCATAATAGAATACACATGTAGCTAGATCAATCAATTCTGACTAGCTTATAAAGATAAATATTTCAATTTCCAATTTTTTTCTCTGTGATATCTCTGAAAGTTGTCGGAGTTTATTTCTTGATAATTCTGCCGAAATGTAAATTAGGCAGGCGATAGGTCAGGGGCTAAATATGTGAATTAATACATCATATCTTTTTTGACCGTTTCACTTAGGAACATTTATGTTGTTGTCAGGACAAGGAAAGTTATAGATAAAATTTTGTTTAATATGTATTCGTCTTATTTTCAAAAAATGATCGTAACTAATATATCAAGCACTGATTTCATATTTTGATTTAAGTAATTGTTTTGAAGTTGAAAGAAATAAGATATTTATTGAAATTTTTTTTTGAGACAAGTGGATGTTAAAGCTTTGAACAGGTCAAGGAAACTATTTTCAGTCACTTGTAAATTTACATGCTAAATTAAAAAGTTAATGTCGAGTTAATGAATCGAGTTGGGAAAATACACACTTGGGATATTTCAAATATAGTAACAAAACATGAATTTCAAGTTTTTCATGTGTAAACAGAACTGTTAATTATTGATGTACGGAAGACCGTTGGTGCCATGTATGAAAAATATTTTATCTGGCGGCCGGCCGCCACTTACTATATGGTGGTCGCCACATATATATCTGGCAGTCGCCACATATTTTATATGGGGGCCTCCAAATGTCTTTTTTGATGACATTCGTTGAATAAAAATTTCACGTGGCTCTTCAATCAAAGGAAATATATATATACAAGTTATTATAATTTCTTAAATACAACACTTAAAATGTCCTTCTTTAACAGTTTAGAATTGTCAAAAATTATTGCCAAGCTTAATAGTTCTATCATTACTTGTTGCATGCTTTTCAAACTCTCAAATGCTAAATCAGAGGATTGCATAATAAAAAATTGATACCAACTGAAAGATCTTCGATTTCACAATGAAATATATATATATATACACATGTGAAGTATGCAAAACTTTACCTAGCACCAACTGTTCTAAAGCACTGGATTAATCGGTTTTTTTTTTTTATGGTTTAATGTAGTGCCACTAAAATCGTAAAATTGGTTAAAAAGAAAAAAGAAAGAGGTCAAATTGTTGGTGGTACCCAAAGAAAGAATATACTTGTCACAAGGAATACAAAACATGTGAAATATGAAAACTATAGCCCCACCCAGTCAATAGTTGTGGACAAGGCAAACAAGACAAACAGATAAACAGACATGTAAACGGACAGACAGACATACAGGGCAAAATTATATATTCCCGTATCTTCGATTATGGGGAAATAAAAACAATAAACTGTCCAAACTAATCTTTTTTTTGACTCCCTCCTCCTGGGTCGGGGCAGATTTTTTCACACATCCATCTAAAAACCTCCAACCCCCTCCCCCCGTGGATATGCATAATAATCATTACATTTAAATCTGAAATATGTTTACTAGTTTAATATTTAAACTAAACTTTGATAAATGTAGGGTAAAGGCATGCATTGGATCATTGACATGACCATGCTAGCCTCATTGTAACAGCGAAACAGGAATATATTCGAGCATTTCTATTTTCTTACCCAAATCTCCTCGTCCGGTGCTGTGCAAATATGTCGTCGCAAACCATCCTCAAAGAAATCAAGGAATACGTAGGGAAATGAAAAGAAATCTCTGTCAACTCTGAATATCGTGCTTCTATATCGCCAAGTGTAATCTGGAATGGATGAGTACCAGTTCACGTGGTCAAAATCTCGAGCTGGCAAATTATTGAATTTATAATGTGGTCACTGGGGCGTGAAAGTGTGAATAGCAAAAGACTGGAGAAAGGGTGGTGGAAGCTTGAATTTCTCATTTTAGGGGAGTGGGGAAAACACATTTAAATAAAGCTCTGATTTTTTCCCGTAGATCTAAGCACATTTAATTTGACAACATTCTGTATATAGGTACATGTATGTAGACCATGCGCGGATCTTAAGGGTAGGCCTTGTGCATTTGTTTCAAATGAAAATTGAAGTTTAAATTCTATATAAAAAAGCATATAGGTCCCTGAGAAAATGAAATTCAATTTAATTAACCCGCCCCTGAATTTTTTAGTTATTTTAATAATTATGCTAAAGTATTTTTTTTTAGGTAAATATTTTTGAAAATTAGACCCCTAGAAAACACGAACCGCTCCTCCAAAAGATAGATACGATAATTATGTGAAATGAAAATTCACTGCATGGTATAACATGACACGTATAGAGCTCAGGCCAAAATAAAAAATACCTTTGTTTCCCCTAACGCGACCGACCCAATTTAATCACGCCGACTGAAAAGATTTTTTTTAAATAAGATGATTCAAAATTATTTTTATTGTCGACCAAGTTTTATAAAATACAATTTCATCAAAATCAGTTTTTATCAGAACGGCCGACATTGTTCTACTGTGATTTTCAAGCATTTGATGGAAACAAAATAGCGTCCAAATGTGATTACAGAGTAGTTCTTTATAAAACAACGGCGATGTCTCAATCTTATGCCTATAGCTATCTAGAATAAATATATTTTAAACAAGTTGATAATAAAATTCACCATGACTAATAAGAGTGTTTCAGAGATTATGAAAAATTATAATCGTCACCTGGAAATGTGAGTGAAAATTTTTTCGATTAGGGACGGTAAACAACGAACAAACAAATCTGTCTGTTGAATTTCAGAAACGTAATACATGGAAAGGCCAGCCTCATGACCAGATGAAGGGCCCACCTATTGAACACATCATTCAATTTCACTGCATTTTATTTAATTTGAGTTTTGATCTGTTCCTATGTTTACTATATGCCATTTTGGAATCATAGGAGTTGTAAATACATCTGCATATTCATCCTGATAAATATTATATTTAGTTGTACTTTCATGCCTTTCTTCACGGGTTAAACTTTGTGACTATGACATTGTTTTATATAGCATTTTTATCATTTGTAGATTTGGATTGGTTCATTTAAATATTGTTTAAATACTCTTTCCAAAAATTTTGAAATCATTTATTCAGCTTCCTGATCGAGACGTCCATGCAGTTTATTTTTCTTTAATTTTTTTTAGGTCTTAATCCCTTCGATATTTGTTGGACTACATTTGAACATTTTCCTATTGCTCCAAATTTCCACGCACTAAGCTATTTTTTTGCCAGGAAGCAGTGGCGACTTTTTTTGAGCCAGCATCTTCTGCGACAAGTTTTTATGATCCCTAATTTTGATGGACCGTTTTCAACCTTCCTCATTGTTATATGAACCTGCGACTAAGAATTATCCACTTACGTCTTAACTCCAAAGCAAAATGCTCTAGAACCACTGCAAATCTCAAAAAGTACATTGATCGTCTATAAGCTCTGAACGCTGATTGAAGGTTTGAAAAAATATACTCTGATGTCCAGTCTTTGCGTATTTGAGAATCTTGTTTTTTTAATTCGATTTATATAAATGTACTATGGTGTGAGATATTTCACAAGTTTATCTAAATAACAGTTGTGAATTAATTAATCATGAATTTTGCTTTTAAAGGCATATGTATGATACATGTACTTAGCATTTTCTTCACAAATCACTTTCTTTTGTGCTTTTCTTACTTATAAATGTAATTTTCCATAAAATTTTGAAATGGATTTTCAAACCTGCTGTCAGTTAAATAAAATTGTTTACCTACCTACCGAGCAACTTAAGAATTTAGGGTCGGGTTGAAACAAAGATATTTTTAATTCCGGCCTCATAGTCGTAGTCACTTTGGGCAGCGGTTTCACCACCCCCCCCCCCCAACATTCAATCGAGTGATTAGGGTTAGGTTATAAAGTTTGCTGCAGCCCCCCCCCCCCCCATTTTTTAATAAATCCACAAAATTCAGTTATTTTGAAATATTAATATTTAACCTCATTTTATGGCATTTTTTTATGTTCAACAAATGAGTAAGCATGAATCTCATGAAGAGTTGTATGATATATTATTAATGTAATATAGTAATTTTTCGCTTTAAAAAAATTGTTTAAGAAATGAAACTTTTCGGCTAAATCATTACCTTTACTATAGGAAATGTTCATTGAAGGGATAGTTGCACCCCCACCCCCAATTTTTGACCATAGTATAGTGATATTGAAGAATTGTGGGAAAAAATTGGAATTGAAAATAATATGAAAAAGTTGTCCCCCCCCGAAATAGGATTTTCGAGTTTGGGGAACTTTCAATCTTGCTTTTTTTTTTTTTTTTTTTTTTTTGCTTGTCAAAGATTTTCTGAAGTTGAGCCCCCCCCCCCCCACTTTTAAGTTTGTGACTACGCCTCTGGAGCTTTAATTTCAAAGTCAAAGCCTACATATTGTACAAAATGTACATGTATTATAACCATTACAGCCAAAATCACACCACTCCTTTTACCCCCGGAAATATGTTTTTTCATGTTTGGAAAATGACTTTACCTTTTTTTTTGCTTGTCAACAAATTTCTGGGTTGAATTTTTATTTAACTGCATAGGATGGACCCCCAAAAACCCTCCCCCCCCCCCCCCCCCACTCACTTGGAAAAAAAAATTCTGGATCCGCGCTTGGTAGACAAGCATGAATTTTAGTACAATTTGGTCCTTTACCATATGAAATGAAAAGTTTTATAGACTGAAGTCAATTTCATTTTATTTGGAATATATAAAAAAAAGGAACAGGGCTTGCCTGGGGTCCAGTCTTGACCAGCTGTTGATCTTTTGTAAAATTTTGTAAATTTATCCATAAAATTATTTATATTTGTACGAAAGCCCATTGAGCTCATTTTCGGTAGGATAAAATGTCTGCAACCCCCCCCCCCCATTTTTTATTGAAGAACAAAATCTCAGTTATTTTGAAATATTAATATTTAACCTCATTTTATGGCATTTTTTATGCAAAAATAAAATTTTTGCGATATAACACGGAACATTCGCGAATAAATGCGTAATTTTCGCGTTACAACGCGAAACTTAAGCGTTATAACGCGAAACTTTCGCGTTTATTCGCGAAACTTTTCGTTATTTATAAATACGCGTTTTACGCGTTTTTCGCGAAAGTTTCGCGTTTTAACGCAAAAATTATTTATTTTCTTATCCTACGAAAATGAGCTCAATGGGCTTTCGTATTACTAAAAGTAGTTGACACTGAGAAAAAGTTTATCTCCCCCCCCCCCCCCCCCCCCCCCCCCCCTTCCACGAAATAGGATTTCCGACTTTGGGCAACTTTTTCCTTTTTTTTGTCAACTTTTTCAGGGTAAGTTAAAAACATTTTTTTGGCTGCCCCCACTTTCAAAAACAATGCTACGCCACTGTAACAAAACGGGTACCGGTTCTTGCCATGAGAGATTCTTTTAATGACGATTTCTAATCCAGAAAATCCTACTGAAGTTAAAATAATTACTTGTACAAATGTACATGAATCTACGAGTTCCTGCATGGGTTTTGGGGTAGGAAATCCGTATAAACACATTAAAATCCTGTACGCTGAAAGTTTTTCAGAATTTAAAAAGCACACGCACATACACACTAAAAAGTCGTCTTCATCTGTTCATTTGAAAATTCTAATGTGTCGGCAATGTGGGGACGCTTACTAAATTAATATCCATCTTGTCACTAAGCATTATGCAAGTAAAATGAAAAAAAATATTGTCAGTTTGGGTGGAATTAAAACTAAGGGTCATGTGACCGATGATTGACATGATACAAAATTAAGATAAAACATCTTTTGTAAATGATAATTTTAAATTTGTTCTTGTACCATACGTGTATCTGAACACCTGCAGGCATGCTAAGAAGAGATCTTAGGACTAAGACATATCTTAAGACGGTCTTGACATATCTTAGTCTTAAGTGAGGCCATTGAAAATCCTATTTAAGACCTCCCAAAAGCCCCAGTCACACTTTCACGATTTTAGATCAAGGTAAGCTACGATTTAATCCGTGAAAATTCTTAGTATCCGCATTCCGTTATTATTACCGTGGTGAGCCCTGTTAACTCGGATTACTCCTGAATGATTCGTAAATTGCTACGTGTTTTGAACCGTTCAAAACTATATAAAAAACCGCAATAAAACTTCATTTCTTGTATATCGTAGTTTTACCCGCGTATGCTGTATTTTTACCATTTGGGACTAATTATACACTTAAAGTGATTATCGGGGTTATCCGTGATACATAGGTCTACGCTTACTCAAGGATTTCGACGACTGCAGTCCAAAATATACGATTATACAAGATAATCCGTATTTAACCGTAAACCCCGTAAATTTTGTGTAGGTTGTAGTAGGAAAGCGACAAGGAGCTAATACAGAGACTCACGAATAATGGCGGCGAACCGTTTTCTCTTTCGTTGTAATTACGGCAGCAGTAAGGGTTTTGACGTCTAATCACGTGTTTTAACGACAATTTTACGGTTGGAGAACGAAAGCTTACGATCTTTCAGTTATTAATTCACATTTTTGTTTGTCATAGTTATCTGTTGTCAATGACTGTACACATGACCATGAGCACGGGATTCGGCTTCTAAATCTGCACCCATAGTTGAACAAACAGAAATCACAGAACTACATTGTTGTGACACTTGTTTTTTATACCAGTTAAAAACGGAAGAAGGAAAAGAAAGTAGAAAACAGTTT